GCTCTACCACTGAGCCACCTTCCCAGCCCAATATTCAGTATTTAGGAGCTCAACTTGTGCCAGATTGACCATGTTAATCCCTTTGTGACCTCAGATCATAGCAAAAGCCAAAAAAGCCACTCTACTGGCTCCTTGAATATGTGTGGGACCATGTCTTTCTTCTCCCCAGGAAGTGGTGGCAAAACTACAATGTTGACTCCCTGGCCATCTACAAGCACGATGTGATCCAGGTGCTTTGAGGATATATGAAAGGTCAGTAAAGTTCAGGGTACAGAAGGAAATACATCATCTGCATCTAGTGGTGCTTCAGGTTGAGACTGCCATTCTCCAGAGCCAAGAGGTTAACAGGCTCAATTTGGACTAAGACTAGAAAACAAGCTGTTTCTTTTTTTGGTCTGAGACTGGAACTCTAACTCAGTACCTGATATTCACTCACTGGCTAGTGAACCACGCCTCTAATCCCAGGAAAAAAATTCTTGAATATGAGGCCAAGTTTTAACAACTTGGAAAGGAAAAAGTCAAACATGAGGATGAACTTACTGAGAAAATACAAGAGAATGTGAACTATAGTGAACTAGCCCAGTGTGTATTTCTTAGAAACTTATTAAGATGTTCCTGGAATGTTTTAATTCCTTCCAATTCTGGCTTAATGAATCTGCTTTTGCAATTTTGATGAATAATTTTATGAATAAAATTGGATATCTAATTCCAAATGGTATTTGCATCATTTAATCAAAATCAAATTATTTAAAATATTAAGATGTCTATTTTTATGCTACATAAATATTGTCATATGGAGTATTGTGATTATATTTCCTTTATTGTACATTTACATTTTTTTCACTACAGCTAACACCTACTTCACACGACATTCACTGTTTTAAATTCTTATTTGTCCTGGGGCTTGAACTCAGGGCCTGGGTGCTATCTCTGAGCTTCTTTTGCTTAAGGTGAGTGCTCTACCACTTGAGCCACAACTCAAAAAAGCTTCTGCTTTTTTTCCCTTGATAGATTATTGGAGATGCCTGCGCTGGCTTCGAACCATGATTCATGGATTACAACCTCCTGAGTAGCTAGGATTACAGGCATGAGCCACCAGCACCTGATCCTTTGCTTTTCATTTTTTATTTTTTGTCCTGGTAGTGGAGCTTGAACTCAGGGCCTCAAGCCCTCATTGGGTTTTCTGGCTCATGGTTAGTGCTTTACCATTTAAGCCATACCTCCAGCCTGGCATTTTTGCTTAGTTCAGTATAATGGACTTCTGAAAATATCTTTCTTCTTTGCATGGTCTCTACTCCTATGAGTTCCCTTTACAACAGTTTGCTTTTGACTGGTTCTTTCCTGGGAGTCTTCAATGTTCTGTGGTCCTCTGTTATTTGTCATCTTCAGGGTGGGGCTTTTAATGGTGGGTCTTCCTATGGAGGTCTGCTCCTAGACTAGGCATGCATAATGAGAGACCCCCCCAAACTGTCACCTCCTGGACTCTTCTAGTTATCTGCCTGGTGAATACTAGGAAATTCAAGCTGGATGCCAGCATTCTAAGAGTCAGTTCAAAAGAGAGAGAAGTAGATGAGTGCCAGTGGTTCACGCCTGTAATCCTAGCTACTCAGGAGGCTGAGATCTATCTGAGGATCTCGGTTCAAAGCCAGCCTGGGCAGGAAAGTCTGTGAGACTCATGCCCAATTAACCACCAGAAAACTAGAAGTGGTGCTGTGCTCAAGTGGTAGAGTGCTCACCATGACCTGAAGAGCTCAGGGACAGTGCCCAGGCCCAGAGTTCAAGACCCACAACAGAGAAGAAAAACAGTGAGGGGGAGGAGGGAGAAAGGGGGAAGGAGAGTGAGGGGGGAAGTAAGGGGGGGGAGAGAGAGAGAGAGAAAGAGAGAGAAAGAGAAAGTACTAGGCCCTCTGCTCTAAGCATGGGGAAGGCTGTCCTACCTTCTCCATCCCTAGCTGTGCCTAGTTTCTGGCACCAGACCTCAGAGTGACCCAAGCAATTACAACAATAACTTCAATGAGGTTCTAAATAAAAACTCAAGAACTTTCCGTACCAGAGTTTTTGAATTAAAGAAAACTAAAAAAATTCCTTTGTATCTGCTATTCCTATGCCCACCAAAATATAGGAAATCAACTCAATTTAAGCCCCTGACCCTTTCTACTTCATAATGCTTTTTTTTCCCCTTGATAATGCCTCAGAACAAGCACTAGGGTCCAAGCTTATTTTAAAATAATTCAAAGAGTTGACAGACGGAGCTTCTGGAATTCTGCAGCTTGCTCTGGAGTCCACAGATGGGAAATTGTTGTCAGTTAAAGGGTGGTGCTGGTAGCGCTATTACCATGCCCGGTTTCTAAAAGCCTTTAGAAAAATCATGTGAATTAATTAGCATTCTCCACAGGCACTAGTATGTGCTGCAGTATTCTAAGAACTCAGATAACAAGAAAACATAATAATGTAGTCTCTAACTTTTACCTAATAATGTATTAAGAGGGCTGGGAAGGTGGCTCAGTGGTAGAGTGCTTGCCTTGCATGCATGAGGCCCTGGGTTCAATTCCTCAGCACCACATAAGCAAAAAGCCGGAAATGGCGCTGTGGCTCACGTGGTAGCGTGCTAGCCTTGAGCTGAAGGACAGTGCCAGGCCCAGAGTTCAGGCCCCATGACCGGACCCCCCCCACAAAAAAATAATGTATTAGATAAGTAGATTACAAAGAAAGAATTTTACTTGTTATATGCATGTTGAAAATAGCTGGTCTATGTTTTCAAATCATTGTAAAATATGAACTGTGTTCTAGGATCAATTAAAAACTAAAGGTATAGTACCAAAAATAGGAATAACTTTACCTCTCTGATTTGCTTAATCCACAAATCTCTTCCAAGAAACTCCTGATGTAAGACTACAGGAGCCGAGTTTAAGTTAAAAGTGATGGAGTCACTGCTCTTTTCTTTAATAAATGGCTGAAGGTCAGAATTTATCTGGAAGAGGTAGTTATTAGTTGTATCAATAAAATGTATATATAAACTGGTATGTTTTAGTCACATTCAGAAAGCACAGTTACACAGGTTTTGTATAAATTACAATAAGCATATGAACATTTCAGATAATTAATAATAACTTTAAATTTCCTTATAATTGGAAGTGGCACTGTGGCTCAAGCGGTAGAGCACTTGCCTTGAGCTGAAGAGCTGAGGGACAGCGCCCAGGCCCAGAGTTCAAGCCCCACGACCACAAAAAAAAAAATCCTTACAATTAATTTTCCTTATTTATTCATTCAGATACTATATCTATCTATCCATCTATTTATCTGTCTACCTACCTACATACCTATTTATCTTTTGTGTCCTGTGGTTCTAACTCAGGGCCTCATTCATGTTAAACATGAATGCTATAACACATTTGAGCTACAATATATTGGTCTTTTTTTTTTCCAGTCCTGGGTACTGTTCTTAAGCAATTTTTTCCCCCTCAAGGCTGGAGTTCTATCACTTTGAGCCACAGCTCTACTTCTAGTTTTCCGTTGGTTAACTGGAGATAAGAGACTCACAGACTTTTCTTACTGGACTAGCTTTGAATTGTGATCCTTAGATCTCAGCCTCCTGAGTAACTAGGTCTATAGGTATGAGCCACCAGTGCCTGGTTTCACTCAATTATATTTTAAGCCCCATTCTTTTTTTATTTGGTAGCAGCTTTCATGCTAATTTTTAAATTAAAGATAAGGATTTAAAGAGTTGGTAAAATTACTAAATACATGAATCTAGGATTCAATAAAATATGCAAAAGCTTCATTTAGAGATACTATATGTGTATTTTTCCTGACTCATATGAGCTGTTCAGGTAACATTTGAAAAATAAATAGTAAACAAAATTTAGAAATTACATATATATAGAGAAGTAACAATAGCAATTAATTTTGGGATATTTATCTTTCACATGTCATTGAAAAGTAGGATTTTTTTGTTTGTTTGTTTTGGTTGGTTGTTTGAATTTTTGAGAAAGGGTCCTAACGTATAGCCCAGGCTGGCTTAGAACTTGTGGTCCTTCTGACTCATAGACATGTGTAGCTATATTTGGCTTAAAATTTTCAATTTTATTTTTATTTTATTTTTTTAAAATAATTTTATTTTATTTTTTATTTTTTGGGTCCAGTTGTGGGGCCTGAACTCTGGGCCTGGGCGCTGCCCCTCAGCTCTTCAGCTCAAGGCTAGCACTCTACCACTTGAGCCATAGCACCACTTCCGGCTTTTTTCTTTTTGCTTATGTGGTGCTGGGGGATCGAACCCAGGGCCTCAGGCATGCAAGGCAAGTGCTCTACCACTGAGCCAACTTCCCAGCCCCTCAATTTTATTAAACTTTTTTTTAAATTAACTTTCCATGATTTGTTTTACATTAGGAACTATAAGAAAACTGTAGCAAAAATATCAAATATTTTCCCATTCTGAAAGTAGCATTAATACATGTTAATTAATGATTTGTAAGAGTTCTCTCAAAAATTGTTTCAGGTGGTAAGAACAGATATCATCTAAATATAACTTAAGTAAACTGAAGTTTTCTAACAAAATTACATAGTACTTACCAATCACACTATTTTATATAACAATCACCATCTATGATCGACAGATTTTAAGCACACATAAACTTTCTTTTTTTTTGAGACCTAACAGCAACTTATTAAATGGCAAAGAGTTCTTGTGTTTCATTTTGGCAATTTAAGTATGCAAAGAAAAAGGGTGGGTAAGTACCTTGTGACTCATGGCCATGTGTTTCCCATACTGAAATGCCATATCCTGAACCTCAGCATCATGCTTTGCTAATTCCATCGCAGCTTGGCAGCTCTTTGCTAGTAAGGCACCATGAGAGAGAAAAGTCTGCTCCTTCCAAGTTGATATTCCAATATCATCTGTGATATAATTTTCCTAAAAATGTAACAAAAACCAAGATTAAAAAAAAAGGTTTTAGGACTAATTCAATTGTTTCTGTTTTTGAAGAGTAAGAGTTAAGAAAAGAATTATTCAAAATGAGCTACTGCAACAAGGCAGAATTAAAAGATGCCGATCCTGTCCCTGTCTAAAAACAATGAGCACAGAGGGAGGTTGCTTTTTTAGGGCAATGGAGAAAATGAAAAAGAATTGTTAAAGCATATTTTATTTTGAGCTGGGGAATTTCTATTAAATTGTATTCTGTATAATAGGCAAAAGAGTAGAAACTTAGACCTTTATATTAATTTTACCTATATTCACATCAGTTCTTGCAAGCTACTACATGATATTCCAAAACTCAAGAAACATAGTGTTTAACTTATATGAAAATGTCAAGGGCATAATGAAGGAACTGCATCTCTTTCTGTAAACAGAAAGGTTAGAGAAGGCCACTTGTTATAATGCAGAATATTAGATACAGAATTTGGCAAAGTATATTCTGATAAAAAAAAGAAGGACATCAGGGAGATGTCCTTTATTATTGAATCTTATCTTATATGAAAATCATTATGGTATTTGTATGTAAATTTACACACATCTATTACCTCTAGACTATTTCTGTGTAATAGATATAAGCCACATGTGCAGTAAAACATTTTTTGGTAGCCACATCAAAAAAGTGAAAAGAAATGACTGCAATTATTATTATTATTGTTTTATATTACTGGGCATTGTACTCAGGGCCTTGCACATGGTAGGCAAGCACTCTCCCACTAAGCTGCAACAGCTTGGGCCAGCCTGGGATAAACACTGAGAGCCTATATTAAAAAAAAAAAAAGTGACCTTTAGACAAGACAACAAATAGAAACTTATCAGCATTTCTAACTAGAGAGTCTAGAAAGAAACCAAGCTATGTTCAGGAATTTATTTTAGGGAAAATTTAGACTTTACTGTAAGAGCTAGTACCACTGTTTAGAAAGATCTATCTTACATAGCAAAGGGGACTTTGAAGATATGGTTAAATTCAGGGTGTTGAAATGAGAGCAGTTTATCAGGATTATTTTAGGATTTTAAGATGATGTAATCAGAAGGGCCTTTATAAGAGGGAGGCATCAGGGTCAGTCACAAAAGGTGGCAAACTGGCAGGAGAGAAATGGACAGGTATCATGTTGCTAGATTTGCAGATGGAGGGTAAGACTATGAGCTAAGAAATGAAAGTGAAAACCAGAGAGACAAGAAAGTAGATTTTCCTCTAGAGCCTCCCACCATCTTGAGTTTGCAGCTTCTGACCAGGAACAAAGATGTCACTTTCCCAAAGCTTAATTCTTAGTGGGTATGGTTGGGAAGAAATACAAAGTAGAAAGTAGGTAGAGATTTTTGTCACAGTTATCAAAATTGTAAATGTATTAGTCCTGTGATCCAGTAATCACACATCTGGGAATTAATCTTACAGATCACACACATATGAAATGGAACATGAACAAGGTTTTATCTCTTGTTCATCCACATGCCAAGGTGATCTTTTAAAATATAAGCCACACCCACAAGGCCTCCAGGATGTTTCTCAAAGTATTCCAGGCGTTTCCTCCCTAAGGCCCCAGAATTTGCTGTCTTCGCTGGCAGATGCCCCCTCTGAGGTTTGCATGGCTGGATTCCTCATAGCTTTCTGGTGTCTGTCAAAATTCAGCTCATCTTTAATAATCTGCCTCTCTCTCCTATTATTTTTCTTCTTACTTTGCTTTAAACATTTTTCTTTGATCTACTAGAATCCTTGTGTGTATACACACACACACACACACACACACACACACACACACACACATTATTTGTTTAATGGCTTGTCATCTCTTTCCTTCACTAGAGTATAAGCTCCATGAAAACAAGCACTTCTTTTTTGTAAAATTTTTGTTCTGGTCCTGTGGTTTGAACTCAGGACATGGACACTGTCCCTGAGCTTTTTTGTTCAAGGCTAGAACTGTACCACTTGAGTCACAGCTCCACTTCTGGCCTCTGTGTGTGTGTGTGTGTGTGTCTGGCCTCTGTGTGCGTGTGTTTGTGTGGTTTAGTAGGGGTAAGAGTTTTAGAGACATTCCTGCAGGGATTGGTAATTATTTACCTGTTATCTTTCTTTGATATATCTCTTCTCTTTCATTTTTCTTCTGTACTTCCTAACTTGGTCATAATAAAGAACTGAAATAATTCTCTCTCTCTTTTTTTCTTTTTTTATTGGTCCTGGTGCTTGGATACTGTCTCTGAGCTTTTGTGATCAAAGTCAGTGTTGTAGCATTTGAGCTACAGAGTTACTTCTGGATTTCTGTGGTTAATTGCAGATAAGAGTCTCATGGACAGAAGTGGTACTGTGGCTCAAGTGATAGAGGGCTTATCTTGAGCTGAAGAGATGAGGGACAGTGCTCAGGCCCAGAGTTCAAGCCCCATGACTGGGGAAAAAAAAGGTGCAAATTCCAAGCCAGGGACTTAATTTTGGGCAGGGAAGGTGGCTTAGTGGTAGAGTGCTTGCCTTGCATGTATGAGGCCCTGGGTTGGATTCCTCAGCACCACAAGTGGCACTGTGGCTCAAGTGATAGAGAACTAGCTTTGAGCTTTTTGCTGAGGGACAGCGCCCAGGTCGAGTTCAGAGTCCACAACCGATCAAAAAAAAAAGTCTCATGGACTTCCTGTCTAGGTATGAACCATGATTCTCACGTCTCAGCCTTGGTAGCTAGGATTACAAGAATGCCCGCTAATCATTTTCTTTTAATGCCTCTCAGTTGCCCTTATGTTTTATTTATTTATTTTTTATTTTTTTTTTGGGTCCAGTTGTGGGGCCTGAACTCTGGGCCTGGGCACTGTCCCTCAGCTCTTCAGCTCAAGGCTAGCGCTCTACCACTTGAGCC